TCTCTCTCTCTCTCTCTCTCTCTCTCTCTCTCTCTCTCTCTCCATCTCTCTCTCTTTTTGGAAGAATAGTAGGCTATAAATTATAAACAGAAAGTTTCTGGTTAACCCACTGTCTTCTCTGAAATATACACATTTGTAACACATGGAAGATGAGAAAAATAACTGACTTTAAAAGGGGGAAATAGGAAAAATGGGGTGGGGGATTAAATTAGAAAAGGAGAGGGATGGCGGAGGGATAAATACTATGAAGGATGTTTTTTAAAGGCACAGGGAAACATAATATGTGTGTGTGAGATAGAGAGACAGAAAGAGAGAAAAAGAAAGAGAAAGATACACACAGTACAAATGTAGGCTATTTCAATCTCCCCTGGTTCCCTCACAGAACTCAAAGGCAACACACAATAGCTGCAGACACCATACATTCTGAATCAGAACCTGAAGGAATTGACCTGGAACTGACCACAAAGCTTCCCACCTGAAGGTTAGATCTCTAAATGACCAAAAGTGCTATGCAAGCTGCCAAGGAAGGAAAACAGTAATAGTCCTGGTCAGCTGTGGAAGCCTATGAACCACAACTATGACCAGTAATGGCAAGTTACTCCCAAGGGTCCAACAGTGGTAGGTACGTCATAGAGGCAACCAACAGCTATCTAATTGGACTACTCAATGGGAGGGAACTCATGCTGGACACCAGAAACCTAGCCAATAACTCTTTGCTGTTGGGGTCATGAAACTTAGAGGAGAACCTACTACTGCCACTTTCCTGAACCAGTATAATTCCTAACCGAATTCTAAATAGCTATCCTTCTACATACAGGTATGTGTAGCTCTCACTCCCTCACCAAAGCTTCTTTTTGAAGCAGAGCCCATTACAGAAAACCACAAGTCATTAAAATGCAGAGAACAAATGACTTTGGTGGTACCCAACTGTTTTCAACACATCTACAATACCCCTTTACCTAAGGCTCAGGGAACGTCATTGTAGAGCAAGTGGAAGGATTTTAAGACCCCGGGACCAGGACATCTACTGTAATGCATTGTACTTTCTATATATGACAGGGAAGCTGCACCCATGAAACTTTTAAAAATATGGTCACCTAAACAATTTTTGCACAATGACACCACCAATAAACAAGCCAATATGAATGAAGAAAATCTCAGAAGACATAGACAAAGATATACAGGCAATTAATGGCTGCTGAGATAGGGAGAACCATTCTTCTCCAGGAACGAGACCCCTGACAGGTTATCCAATCCCAAGTGGTCAGTCCTAAATAAATACACGTATGAACAACACTAAAAGGACAGGCTCTGTGTGTGGAAGAGAAGAAATGAAAGTAATATAAATGCAGCACTCATATGGAATTATCAAAATATATTAATTTAAACATTGATAATAAGCACTGTTTGCTTATTTGTCCATGTGTCTGCTATTTTTTTTTTGACTAGTAGAAATCTTTTTACTGAGTTTCCATACATTGAGAAATAAGGTGAACTCACCCATCTTTCTCCTTAATCCTATTGAATTCTTCCTTTTTTCATCCCATTTAATTTATTATTGGCTGAGAAAGTTGCTGGACAAGGATTACTTTAAAGCATTATGCCCATTATTGCCAGAACCAAGCTCACGTAAATTAAAGATTATCAAATAGCCATAGCTACAGAAGACAAAACCAAAAATACACCTGTAGAAAATAAATAGCCATATACACAGGAAAGACTCTTATTCAGAAATGCCAACTAAGTTCCAAACTCAAACTAGATTCTCCAAGAACCTATCCTATCAAAACAACCACGCTAGGTATGAGGGAACACACTTGTAATCTCAGAACGCAGGAAACAGACACAGAAGGATCACTCCAAGTTAAAGACCAGCTACTCCTACATAGCAAAACCTTGTCTTTTAAAAACAATCTATAGCGTTGAAAATAAGTATTTCAGAAAGTGCTGGAAAACATTTTAGAACAAATATCCTTCATGTAGGCTCAAATGCCCCTTTCAAAGAAACTGGATACAAAATTGTGCCTCACTAAAAGTCATTTTTAACAGATTTTGATATAAAGACATTTAGAGAGCCCCTTACCCTCAAGTAAAAAACATTTTAACTAACCAAACAGAAAGACATGGCGTTACTAAGCACCAGTCACAGTGCCCAAAATGATCACTTCAATTCAATTAAGTAATGAAACCTTATGTTGCTTAAAAAAGTTAGCATTTAATCCATCACCAGTAACCAGTAAGCATAACTGGATTGTTTAGTCACCAGGCAAGACACTGAGGGGAGTTCTGAAAGGGAAAGAGCCACAGCTTGATTCTCAAACAGCACCATGTACAATGACAAAGCAGGGAGCCATGGGCAGTAGAACAGACATGGTTGTCAGGGAGCAAAAAGTTTTTGCCAAGCACTGGCCATACCTCCATGCTGAAGAGCTGGAGGAAAAGTAATTAAGTCAAAGTATAAAAGGATGATGAAATAAATCCTGTGGGTTTAGTGAGTTTATTGCAGATCTAATTATTATGGTGACTAAGGCAAATAAATAAATAAATAAATAAATAAATAAATAAATAAATAAATACGAGATGAGATAGCTTTGAATTCTTCTCTTACCTCTGCCATCAAATTTCCTAAAATGTATAGAGACTGACCCCACATGTGAGGCAATTTTCCCATAGGAACTCGATCCACAGTGTGAGGATTTTGATACTCTTCATCAACCTAAATGAGATAAAGAGGTCAAATGAGAGGCAATAATAGAAATCTTAAGGTACTAGATGATAAAACCCTGAGTCCAGATTGTGCTTTATACATTAGAAGCAATGGATTGAAAAACTAAGTAGGACAGTGCTCAGGCTGTTAATGTGTGAATGAATCACCCAAGAATCTTATGAAAATGAAGACCGAATAGGAGTGGTGGGTGTGGATAAAAACTATTCGTAATAAATTCTCAGCTGATACTGATGCTGCGGCTGGGAACTTATTCTTCAAGTACCCACCAGAAAGAAAAACTCTGTCTCCACCATGTTTGATTCTCCTTCACTATGGCAAAAACAGTACCTGCTTCATTTTTCCAATTCTGATCTACACTAGCAATCTCAGATGACTGGCTCCAGAGAAGACCTAGTCCCAAGAGCTGACACAGGCCATCACTCTGGTTTCACCTACTGATCTCTACATCATTCTCAGGGTGGATATTTGCTTTCATTTATATCTCACTGTATAAGAGTACCGTAATTGAGTCTGTCTTAACAATTTATTTCCGAGGGGACGATTGTATTTCTGTTGTCCTAATCTGAAAACTAAACTTTTAGAATATTAAAGTCACAAGATACAAAGTCACAGAAGCTATCTGACTCAAAGAAGTCAGTATCACAGGCATAGGGTTCCTCTCCTGTTACTGTTCAACACTATCCAACTCACCTTGTCAGGAGGGACACTGTACAGCTCTGGAAGAAGTGGTAATCCATTTTTGCCCTTGATGAGGACTGCTTCAAGAGCCTCTCTATATTCTTGAACCTGAAGAAAAAAAATAAAATTAGAAAACCAAAATTTAAGAGACTTTCTGTGGGAATGTAGTAGAAGGATGCAGCCAAAGAAAGAGCTATTGCAAAGGTGTTATTGAGCCAAGTCAAAAGAGAGGAAATGGGGAATGGTATTGTGTCAACTTGACACAAACTAGAATCATCTGAGAGGAAGGAGCTTCAGTGGAGAAAATGCCTCCACAAGATCGGGCTGCAGGTCCTGATGAGACTTGATCAGCTGGGGTCAGATGGTAGAGGAAGAAGATTCCTCCTTTCTGAGGGGACTAGGGGAAGAAGATGGAGGGAGGTGGGACCTGGAGCAGATGAAGCAGGGGGCAACAATCAGTTTGTAAAGTGGATAAATTATAAAAATAAATACATTTAAATAAAATAACTAAAAAAAAATGGGCTTCAAGTAAGTCTGTAAAGCATTTTCTTAACTGGTGATTGACAGAGAGGACAAGGCCCAGCCATTGGCAGATGCTGTCGTCCCTGGGCTAGTGATCCTAGGTAAAGGCCTTTCTAACAGGCTCAGGCATTGCAAGCATGGCACTGGCAGGTCCTGCCTTTCTCCTTTCCCCCTCTCTTACTAAACTTAGATTACATTCCTAAAGCTAGCCCCCAATATCCATTCCCTTACTGGGTCACTGACTCATTCCTGAGACTGATCGATCACCATGGTCCAACTACCAAAACACCAAGGTCCAGCAACCAAAATTCAATATTTGGCTAGACAGGCTAACATGCCCAATCAGGACACATCAACTCATCCTAACACAGTCTTCCTCTTTTTTTCTCCTTAAAGAAACACTCCTGAAGAAACACTGTTCCTTTGTGCTGAGAATTTGGTGTGTGGGTGTGTTCTGTCCTGACTCCAAGGCCCCTTTACAGTGATTTTCTAAGAAAGCAGGCTGAGCAAGCCGTGAGGAGCAAGCCAGTAAGCAGTGTTCCTCTATGACCTCTGCATCAGCTCCTACCTCCATGTTCCTGCCCTGCTTGAGTTCGTGTTCTGACTTCAGTCAATGGGTTGTGATTCAGGTATGTAAGCCAAACAAATCCTCTCCTCTCCAATTTGTATTTGGTCACGGTATTTTTGTCACAGCTGTAGAAGCCCTAACTAAGGCAGGTACTTATTAAATATTTCTTATAGGTCAAATGTCACACAACTTTCTGCATACTTCAATGCATGTAATTTTAGTTTTCATCCTACTAGGTATGTGTGATTGGAGTCCTTTAAAATGGGAATTAAGTTCAAAGAGTTTCCGAACTTGCAGTTTACCAAGCACTTAGTTTACTAAGAATTTTGAAATTAAACTTTCAAAATGCTACTTTCTTATTTCTTGTGTGCATTAGTGTTTTGCTTGCATTATATTTGTGTGAGGGTGTCAGAAGCCCTGGAACTATAGTTACAAATAGTTGTGAGCTGTCATGTGGATGCTGAGAATTGAACCCAGTCTCTGAAAACCAGGCAGTGGTCTTAACCACAGAGCCATCTCTCTAGCTGCCTGTCCTTTTAAAACATTTATATTTTTTAAAGAAGCTGTCAACTTGAGTGTAGATGGATAAGGCTTGAGGGAAGGAAGGTGGGAAGGCTGGAGAGAGGAAAGGAAGGGAAAAGGTGATTCAATTCTACTTCAATTAAAAATATTTTTAAATGTTTTGGTTTTTTGTTTGTTTGCTTGCTTTTGCTTCCTTTTTCTCAAAAAAGGATCTCACTGTGTAGCTCTAGCTGCCTTGGAAATCACTATGTAAATAAGACGGGCCTCAAAATCACAGAGATCCATCTGCTTCTGCCTCCCATATGCTAGGATTAAATGTGTGTGCCACTGTGTATGGCAAAGTGATTTTGTAAAGTTATATGTATGCGTATGTGTCTGTGTATGAGTATATGACTGTGTGGGCTGCTACCCATGGAGGCTGGGGGTTTCAGATCTCCCCTGAAGCTGGAGTTGGAACTCTGTAAGTGGTTGTGAACCATATGACAAGCATGTTGAGACTCAAACTCGGCTCTCCTGGGAGAGCATTTGTGTTCCTAATCACTGAGCCATCTTGCCAGTCCTTAACTTGGCTTGTATTTTGTTTTTAAGCTTTATTTTTATTTGTGTGTGTACACATCTGTGTATGTGTGTTTCCATGTATGTGCACACATGTCCACCTGTGCCTGGCCTGCAGAGGTCAGAAGAGGGTCTAGCATCCCCTGGAACTGGAGTTACAGGTGGTTGTGAGCTGTTTGACATAGGTGCTGGGATCTAAACTTTGGTCCTCTGCAAGAGCAGCAAACCACTGAGAAATCTCTCCAGCCCATTGACTAGGCTTTTAAAACTACATTTTATTAAATACTTCAATTAGTATATAAAACAGTAGATTTTATTATGATATTTTCTTACATGCATATCATCGTACTTTGCCATACACACCTTCCCATTAATCTTGTCATCTCTCCTCTCTAGATTTGGCTGCTGTTATGGCCACGTTTATCTTATTTATTTGACAGTTTGCTAAAACATAATAACACATAAACTATAAAAAAGGAAAGAGTCAGGAGACAGCTCAGTGGGCCTAGTATATACAAGGCCATGGGCTTATTAGAAGTTTAAATAAAACCTATAATTTGTGGCAGAAATCATAGTTCTTTAACACAACAGCTTCATTCCACTTGCTTCTTGGTAGAAAGAGGATATTGGTAAATTCAAAAATTTGTTCAAATGTGATTAATAGGTTAGGGTACAATTTGAGGATTGCGAAGAGATGTCTGCAGGCTGTACAGCAGACAACCAAAAACAAAAACAAAAACAAAAAAAAGACCAGGGTGAGGTAAGAATGAAACTGGGATCAGCCCAATTCTGGTAACTGGTGCTGGACGAGGACTTGTAGACTCTGACCCTCATCAGTTTGCTTTAGCCATATTTAAGCACAGCTGAGTTTTGGAATAAAAGATTTTGGAAAAAAAGTATTGAGATAACAATGAACTCAACCCTGTGAGTACAACAAAGCTTAAGACATGTTTACATTGAAGTTCTTTACAAAGTACATGTGGCTTTGTCTGTAAGATGGGTTCTTGTTGACTTTAGAAACCAGGATCAAGATACGGTCTAAGGTGAATGGTGGAAATGAGCATAAAGCCTGGCCCTAAGACAACATAGAAGTCACTTAGGCTGTTGTAAAGTACAAATGATATCTCTCACAAGGATGGGTTTTATAGTCTATAAGCAATGCTTGAGGTTTTAGGGGTTGGGGTAAACAAACATAACATTCTGTGTGATATGGGTAGAGCCTAGCTCAATTGGTAGCAAAGTATTATCAGGTTGTAATCAACAATTTTCTTTAGCATTCTGGTAGAACAGTCAAATATCTTCTCCCTTTGAAGACATTAGCTGTTTGTTTAACTTTTCCTGGCTTCTCCAGTGCTTATCTGTGTACACAAGGACTTTTTACCCTCTCCAGAGTCTAACATAAATTTCATGTTTGCTTACTTGCAATTTCTTCCTGCGAACATACTCTGTTGAACTAAGCCATCTAAAACTATGGGGACATACACAGACTTAAGAAGGCCAAAGGACCACACCAGTCCACATGTGTTGTTTCAGTGTTCCATCCAACTGTATATGATCTTTCTTTAAACACATCCTAACTTATAACCTAGGAGGCCCCAACAGCTGCCTGTCTCTAGGAGACAACTCTGTCTCTTCCCTAGTAGGAAGACTCCTGTTTAGCCAGTCAGTACAGATACAGCGGTTAATTGAAAGAAGATACAAGAGTAGCTTGCTGAGAGCTCTTCTCCCAGCTCATTACCTGTTCTGTGTTGCCACTGAAGATCCCATCAAGGATAAAGTATGTCCAGAACAATGGCCATTCACATTCAATGTTTTCAAATAGCTTCAGCTCAGCTGGTTCATAGTACGGGCGATTGGGATCCTAGACAAAAATAGAATAGACAAGTCATGTCTATTAGATGTATATCTTTAGCTCAGAGGTATCATAATAGGAGTTTTACTGCAGACCATTTGTTTCAAAGACGTACTCATACTCTCCTCCCTTAGCAAGTGCTCTATGAAGAAACTTCCAGGTACTAGTCTTGGGATTATAAGCAATCATAGAAGATATATGAAAGCATGCTGTTACTTTCTTGTTGCAATGATAAAGTAATCTATAACTAAGCAGAAACACATCCTCAAACATCTGCATGTACCAACCTCTCACCAATACAGACTCAAACACATAGTACTCAAAAACAACTCAGTAGCAACAGCAGCAATGTCCCTTCAAGCAAGAAGTGTGTTATAGGTTCCTCTCCATAGTAGCACTCAAGATTGAATAAGGCCATTGTGGTGAAGACCGAACCTCTGGCTTTGTAGGAGAGAGACCAGAAGAGACTGAGGCACACCGGTGCTCCCTGTCTCTTGCCATGTGGTATTTGAACTACACCTTGGGACCCTGTCAGCAAGGTCATCATCAGATGTGGACCTCTTAACTTTGTACGTACAAAGGTGTGAGCTCAAATACAACCATTTTATAGCTCAGTCTGCAGTACCGTGTCCCTGCCAACAGAAAATGGACTATGACTGGCGGTCAAAAAGATATACTGATGGAAAGATGCCTTTCTGTTTGTATGGATTAAATATTGGAGGAAGATTGGAGATTATGGAAATACTGTTTGTGTTTGAAACTTCTGTCCACAGATTTTAGCATCCATCATAGTTCTTACCTTAAACTAACTAACTGATGTCTATCCAGTTTGCCCTTCTGAATGAGGATTGATCATCTTACCCAGGGACCTCCTTCTTGTTTAACTTCTTTAAGAGTAAAGATTTTAGGATGTTTATCATATATTATATGTCTAAATATCTAGTTATAAGTGAGTATAAATGCTGTGTGTCTTTCTGCTTCTTTGTTACCTCACTCAGGATAATCTGTTCTAGTTCCATCCATTTGCCTGCAAATTTCATAATTTCCTTGTTTTTACCTGCTGAGTAGTATTCCATTGTGTAAATATACCACAATTTCTGTATCCATTCTTCAGGGAACAGGACAGGAGCCTACCACACAGGGCCTCTGAAAGATTCTACTGATTGGGATATTGAAGCAGATGCTGAGTTAATAGCCAAACTTTGGGCAGAGTGCAGAGAATCTTATGAAAGAAGGAGGAGATAGAAAGTCCCAGAGGATACAGGAGCTCCACAAGACCAACAGAGCCAAAAAATCTGGGCCTAGAGGGCCCTGCAAAGACTGATACTCCAACCAAGGACCATGCAATGGAGAGGACCTAGAACCCTTGTACAGATTTAGGCCATAGACTCAATCTCCAAGTGGGTTCCCTAGTATGGGAACAGAGACTCTATCTGGGATGAACTCAGCATTAGGCTCTCTGATCACCTTCCCCTGAAGAGTACAGCCTTACCAGGCCACAGAGGAAGACAGTGTAGCCAGTACTGATGAGACCTGATAGGCTAGGGTCAGATAGAAGGGGAGGAAGACCTCTCCTATCAGTTGCCTGGGAC